GCGTATCTATTAGTTCAGGTGCTGTTTGCTGTGAGGCACACTATATCAAGCGGAAAACTCTTTTGGCTGTATGTGTGTACGTATGTTCTAGCTAAAAAATGCATTTCTAACCAATCCGATCCGGACTTTGTACTCGTACACTTCGGGGCGGGGAGGGTATCGTAGGCTACTTTTCGTTATCGAACAATTTCAGTTTCATTGACTTCCTTATTTTTTGGTCTACAGATTTCATCGGCTTTTTGCAATTCTTGAGCTATGAGGCGGGACCTGACATAGAGGGTGGGAACATGCTGATTCTGAATACGATATGAACTTTCCAAATTGTCTATTGATTTATCGATTTCATCGGCTTTTTGCAAACTTTGAGCTAGAAGCGGGACTTGACATAGAGAGGCGAGGAACATGGTGATTCTAAATATGATATGAACTTTCGAAATTGTCTATTGATTTATCGATTTCATCTTTCCGCAAACTTTGAGTTACGGGACAGTAACTTGGCACAGGGGGCATATGAGCATGGTAATAACGAAAATAACATGGATTTGGGAAAAGCCCACTGCCTATGTTGATTTTATCGACTTTCTGCAAATAAAAGACAAAATTACATGTGTTAGGTCTAGCCAGAAGAGCTGGAGTTGGTGAAGCGGGGTAGGCGAGCATGCAAATTATGAAAACATAGCGGGGAGTATCGCAAAAAAAGTGGAACAGGGACAGAGTGGTGTTGCGAGAAAATGAGGGTGACCTTTAGCATGCTTTAAAGACAGGTCCGATAGGTTGCCAAAGTCTCTATAAAGCAAAAAAATTGTACGTGGGTGAATGTAACCTATAGATGGCACCGTCCCTGCACAATAGAGCTGGAACTGTGCAAACACTCATTTTTTTCGACGCTAGAGAAAAACATAGGCCATTTTTGCAACAAACCGGGTCCTTATATCGATTTACGGATTTGCTTACTTAATTTAAGAGAATGGAAGCTTAAAGTGTCCTGACAGAGCATTTTCCTCTAGTCGTACGAGACAAGTTGTACTCATTTTGATCGAAGCTGGCAAGATGCGGTGATGCAATCGAAGGTGTTTTTATGTGCAGTTCAAGTGCCTTATGCATTCATATTCCCCCGTGGGGGGGGGGGAGGAATTGCAGCTTTAAAGAAAGATTCATATCCTGAAGCTTCAAATACCTGGATTTCACGCTGTCTACCTATCCATAAGTATTCCATCATTCTTCATTAGAGGAATGATAAACAGAAGCAAGAAGCCGTGCAAGCCGCGTTTCAGCTTTTGGTATAACACCCTGGTGATCCTTAGCGGCCGACGTCTTTACTTCAAAGTCGTTTTCCTTCTTTGAAGTCTACGAAAACCTCTCGAAGTTGCACAGCCTACCTGACCTAACAGTGCTAAGCATGTTGCTGATAAGAATAATTAAGTTACTGAAATATCAGATTTTTGATAACTCCAACTTTCAACATGTGGTTCATCGCAATTTGCATGACTCCAGCACAGCATTTGTTCTCATCAGCAACATGCTTAGCACTGTTGGGTTAGACAATCAGTAAAACTTTGGAAAGTTTTCATTAACTTTGAAGAAAGAAAAATTGCTTAAGAAGAGACGTTTGGCTGCCGTGGGTCATTAGGGGATCATGGGCCAGCGAGTGTACGCCTAATACTAGCTTACATGTCCAAGTTTGCACTTAGTATGTGTAATCTTTTTGTAAAAGAATCGGCTTCGCTTGAGAGGCATTTAGCACGTAAGAATTCAATGGAAGCGTTTTACGCTGTACCAAATATTACGCAGCTGTTTTGGTTTTTGGCAAGACGACTTGAGACCATTCCCTTGTTAGGTCGGCCTTTTAAGGGAGAGAAGCGGACGGATATACGATTTTATGTCCGCTAAAGAAAAGTAAACTTAAAAGTAAGGAAAAGTAAAAAAAGACTCGAAAGTTTGAACTCTCTGATGTTCAAGCCAACTCTTGAGCAAGCTTGGTGAAATATTCACACAATTCAACAGTATAAGCTCTGTAGCTTCAACGATAAGTTAAGGCAGTTGACTACTACTAACTTTTTTAGTCTATGAAATAAATAACATAATAATAAGAATTTTTGGCAGGTTTTCCGATTCAATTACATGCTAAGTTAACTTATGCTGCAGACGAAAATCTTCAGTACTTTCTTGGAAGGGAAAAATTAACTGTGTAAACCCCACATGTCAGAATTCACCGTATTTTGCCAGGAAGGGGTACTTAGTGATTGTGCCCATTCTTAATGAAACAGAATCTAGTAGAATGCTCCTCAAAGAGCTAGGCTCAAATCTGCTTTCGCTGTCTGCTGACACACTCTCAGGACTAGGCTATGAGCTTTTTTCGCATCAGTTTTGCGAGGTGGGCGCACTTGAAATAGTTGAAACTGGAATTTTGAAACAGACTCAATTAAAACAGGTTATCCTTACCTACCATAATATTTTTTGCTTGTAATGGTGATTTTACCAAATCGGGGTTGAGTGCATATTCTGATGTGGAAGCGTCACAACGTTTTATTGGAGAACCGCTCAGCATCATTGAAGACGGATTGGGAATTAGCGTTCCAATGCGCATTAAAGACGTGCCCCATTTTTATTTCATTTGCAAATATGCTTATTTCATCTTCTCGTGGCTTAAAAAGTAATGCAGTCTTCTGAAAGATCAAAAAGATGTTTATGGTCTGTGAGCAAATTGTCTTCCAAATCACATTTTGGTGTTTTTGTCATTGCCAACAATCTCATTAACGCTACTTAATACTTCCATGTGATTTCTTGCGACGTTGCCACAGGATTAACCTAATGTGCTTTGTACCCTTCTGTGACAGTTACTCCCATTAATTCGAAGATTATTGAAGAATCTCACCGTTTTTTGAATTTCCAGAGCAAGGGCATAAAAATCACAAAAAAATCATTGCTGCACCAATCATAATAGCATCGAAGGTTTGCGAGAACACGGTGGTCTTCTATCTATATGCCACATTGTCAATGCAGGTCCTTGCAGAGAAGAAAATCTAAAGACTTAGCTGATGAAAGAGAGTGAGGTTCATTAACTGTTTCTCCATGAAAGAAAAAAGAGTAAATTGTGTAAGGCCTCGAGCGGAGTTTAGGGGTTTCATTGCCTCGCGGTTTTCCAGCAGGACAACAGTTACGAGTCCATTACATGCCGACCATCTTGCATTTCGGTTGTGATAGATTTTCCAGATGACTAATCATGAATAACTATCACAACCGAAATGTAAAATGATCGGCATGCAGTGGACTCGTAACTGTTGTCTTGCTTAGAGAATCGCGAGGCGATATAATCGATTGAACTCTGCCCGAGACCTAAGTTTGCATGGAGGGTTGGAAGACATGGGCCCCACTTACTTGTGCAGTCACTTCTAAAACATGATTCTTCCTCAGCACAAAAGATTATCGGGAATAGCACTACAAATGGTCTGACTTCAGTGCGCAACATATAAGACGATTTCTTCTGCGACAACCGCGAAATCCCTTCAAATCCGCTTATCATAAAGGATGACTAATGGGACGTCAAGTAACTTGTTCTCATCGCTCAATATATAAGGAGTGTATCACTTTGCTCTTCACTTTATTGTCATAGAACATGTACATCGTTCTAGTTCTGCTCTCGTTGGTCTACGCAGTCGTGCCACAATATCATACTCCTTCGCATCAAGCGCTGATTAATTTCAATTTCGTGACAGATTGTGTAATAGGGGGTTGGGGCACGGTAAGTTTCACCATTTTGACGATATTCTGCTCGAAAATTTCATGCTTTTCAGAGATACAACCACTACGGATGCTGGTGCGGCAAAGGTGGTTCGGGTACACCAATCGATGCCATTGACAGGTAAGTAAAACTACCAGTCCCAATTCGCAGTCATATTCATGAAAGATCACTTCTAGGTGCTGCATGCATCATGACAAATGTTACGATAGGGCTGTGGCAAGCAAGGTATGTGGCGACATCAGGCAGTACTTCGCGTTGTACAAATGGGATTGTGTCAAGACGCCAAACGGGAACAGAGCCGTATGTAGAGGTGAGTGACATCGAGCTAACTGCACGCATTCTCAGATTTTTCTTTTCGGGAAATACGCCGCCCTGCTCTGATTATAGCACTTCTCCCACTCGAAGGCAGCATCTCGGTAGAATGGCAACTTTGGGATATTCATCGTTTTCGGTTCCCCTGAATGAGCTAAGTCCAAGACTATGCTCTGTAGCCAAAAGATACCAATAGCCCGCTTTTCCAGACGTGAAAAGTGCTGTTCGGGTGGGTCGCGAAAGTGGCTGCTGCAGCCAACAATCCAATTGCCGCCAGGATGGGCACGGTATCTCCACTCATGAGCCAATAGCGGTCTAGAGGGCAGGCATACGCCGTCCGCCAATATAGCACTTTTCACGTCTGGAAAACAGGGTTATTGCTATAATTTGAAGCTGCAAAGCACAGTCTTGGACTTAGTTCATCCAGGGGAGCCGAAAACAATAAATATTCCAAAGTTGTCATTCTGCCGAGCCGCTGCCTATAAGTTACCCAAGGCGTGACAAGGAGGAATAGGAAATAGAAGCTAGAAGATATCATAAGCTCATAGCTCTTTGTGCTTTCAAAAATGTTGAACCGGTCGCACAAAGCGGATTGAGTGTTTTGCTTGTCAAGAGTTAGCTCATCAAATGTTAGAAGTATTAGGTGAGGTGACGTGAAAAACTAAAATGACTCTAAGAGTTAGAACAATATTCGGTTGCATTCCTTCTTCACCTCGATCCTAGACTGATTTGTCATTTGATGCAGCAACAAGTGCTCTCAATTCCCGTCACCGAGCGCAGAAGAATTTTGTTTCGCGGAAGTAACTAACACAGAACGAGATGATAAGAACAAAAATGAGATAAGTGGGGTGATCCCGTTCAGCACAATCTCCACAACATAAATCTGCATTTACACTTTTGTTGTATCAGTTGATATAATCTAGCATGGTGTCTGGTATTTTTTTAGGTACAAACACCGGTTGCGCAGCGGCTCTTTGCAAATGTGACACTGAATGTGTTGAATGCTGGAAGAATGTAAAAGACAGCAGAGGGAAGACGATAATCCCTTCTTTATGGCCCTTCGGAATCGGAAAGCCGGGCTGCCCCAAGAAGTAAAGGGCAATACGATACACATGGAGACAGTGCTCATGGTTACTTTGTCTTCAAAATGTTTCATATGATTTTCCAAATTTTTCTCTTTTGATGATTGTTTATTCTGCAAACGTTCTTTTTTCAAAATTTCATGCAATGTCTCCTGACCTCCCATGATTATTTGCGTGAATGTTTCATGCATAAAATATGTGGCAGCACGCGTTGTCAAGAAGTATTCTACACTTTTTAAGCAGCTATAGACCATACATTTACTCAAGAAGTCGGATAAACATCTCAATGCATAGAAAACCTTACTTTTTCTTGGAACAGAAATTGAAAAACCCCAAATCCAAGCTCAGTCTTACAATTTTACAGATCCCTTCTATTGAACCACTATTTCGAAACTAAACAGACTTATTTATTGGTAAAAACTCAAACTCAGCCTTTACAATAAATGGGTTTCCCGTTTTTACATGATTTTGGAGATGACAGTAAGCGCCGAACTACGAACGAGGGAATGTTTACTTGAAGGGCCTCCCAAACGAATAAGTGAGCGGCCTCCAATCTCGGCGTAGGCCTAGCTAAGATCAAATAAAGTCAGGTGCTTGGTGCCTGGCTATTTTCATAATGTTAGCAATTCTCTGTTGCCCTCGGCGACGATTATAACGGTAGATACATCGGAAACAACTCGCCATAAATGCTGTTCTCATTCTTTGCACTTACGAGCAATACGAATTTCACAGAAATCGGCCACTTCTCTTCAGCTCTGCAGAGCACATCAATACTACGTCCTCGATTTAGGCGAAAGAAAGACTGGACAGAAGGACGTACTAGACTGAGTTGGAACCCCATCCTATATAGTGAAAGAAAAAGAGTTTTGCAAAGGCCCGCAGTAACGCTCGCCCAGTTCAGATGATCTGAAGTGAGGATCTTTGCGAATATTTTGAGGCTTGTAGCGAGCAATCCCTCGCGTTATGAGAATGCATCGTGACTTGTCAATGAGCATCGCGGCAGGTGCTGTGCTCTCACCTGACTTCTGTAAGAGCAGCGTCCGTTTCGAGATGGTCTCGCGGGTGTAAACCCAAGGAAAAATCCCGTAAGTTACTTATGAGTAACTTACGGGACGTGAAGTGACATAATACAGCGTACACAATCAGCGCAAAAATGGTTATTTTGCGGGGTGTGGGACAAGAAAGTATCAACGAACAGCTGATTGCAGCAAGGATGAGAATCAAGGTCATTGTTTTTGATGCAGAGGAATTTCCTAAAAAATCTATATTTCTTAGAAAGCTGTTCGAGAGAAATTTGTTTAATTTCAAAAATCGTATTTTTTCAATGGAAATCAATTTGAATTATCGCGCCCTCTTTCTACCTCTTCTTTTGTTAGGGGCCAAACTTTTGATGGCAACATCATCGATTTAGTGGTTGATATCAATAATTGACCGGTGACAGTAAAAGAATAGCATAGCCGGTCTTGAACTATATCCCTGCTGGTCAAATAGCATCTTTTCATCCATTTGACAAACACACGAATGTCAAAGACGTCCATCCTTTACAGTAACTCGGTTAATGTTGCGCGCGCCGTGAGATTTACTTGAGCGCCTTAAGACAATGATGGAGTTTGTCACCGGCCAAAGATTTGAAGATGTCCTTTGGCCATCACTCATTCTTAGTCGACTTTCCTTATTCGTACCTTAATCTTTCCTTTTCCACCTAATGCTTTGAACGAGTCATCGTCGAATTCGCCATTCATTAACACACCTATATCAGCAGCTGACGAAACGGGGTGAATAATTTTCTAGAGGTTTGGAGAAGGAGATTTAGAGAGATCTGACAGTGAAGAAATTACACGTTAACTAACATCGCTTTCTTCTAGCCCACAAACATGGGTTTAAAATTTTATTTAAATTAAGCATCTGAACTCGAAAAATGCACAAGCCATGACGATAAAATGAAGTATTAGGTTGTTAACTAAGATCAATCGATCCCGTATTTTTTTCCATATCATGTGGATTTAGTATGAGCTACCAACTGGCACAAACCGCTGCTTGATAACAAAGTAGAACGATTGCAAGCATTTTTCGAAAACTAATGAGGTTCGAGGATTCATTGAACTGTGAGCAACAATGAAGCTATTCGCGACCTAGAACACGCACAACAATCCGAAATTATATACGATTTGTTGCCAAAAGTTGATTTATCTAGACCAATGTAAGGAATGGAACTTGATAATGAGTCGACTGGCGCTTTGACGAAGTTGAACGAGTGGCTGTACGCAAGGTTGCAGGGGACAAGAGTTCGAAACTTCACCTCAGATCTGGCCGAGAGTTTGCATAGTGGGATTATTTGTGTTCCATTTGTCGAACACGAATATCGCAATTATTCTAATTTCGTAAATTCTTCGTAATAATCTCACAAAAAGGGCCAACGACGTAAAGTCAGTAACGTTTTCGTGATCATTGGATAACCCCTAGACTAAGTTTCATCTCCACACTGTGATGAAGTAACATTTTCCTGTCACCTACCGATACCTACCGTAACCATTACCCTGACTTCAGAATTTGGCAGAACTACAGAGCAGTAGCTGCACCAGTGACTTACATTATAGCCTACATATTTGCAAATTTTGGGTGCGCATTTAATCAACGACATAATTATTGAGAAGCATAATTCTAAGGGAAAAAGGCGCCAAAAAAAATTTCAGCTTAAGCTTTTACTACAAGTTTGGTAATTTCTTCTTGGGTTTAACGTATCCTTTGCTTCAACCAGATCGGCGGCTGGAGGGCGGGGCCCCGTGACCTAATTAAGGCTAGAAATCAGAGAGCATATTCGCGAGGGAGGCCCAGACTGCGTCGCGGAGCGAGCAATTGCCTAGGTCGTGGGGCCCCGCCTTCCAGCAGCCGGTTTGGTTGAAGCAAAGGGTACATAAACTGTAGTTTATGTAGAAGCACATTTATTTGGAAGGCACAAAGCCATTCTCGATACAGTAACTTTACAAATAATCTTCTGATAGAAATCTCTTTCCGGATGAGGTTTTACAACTTCTGAAATGAGTAATTGCTCGTCCTACTAAACCAAGACGGTAGAACCTTCTTCCTTGCGCGTCTGAGTGCCTTGTGAAATTGTTTCTGCACGAGAATTGAGCAGATTACAGCCAGCTTTTAGAGAATTTTGCATACATGCGCGACCAGCATGTCGGTTCAGCATGCACAGAGACGAGTGGGTCTAATGCGTTCAAAATTCGCATGTCATACAGATTCACATGTCTTTAGACTGACAGGGGAAGGATACAAGTAGCACTGATGCAGTAAGCTGCACAAAAACACCTGAAAACACCATTGAAAGTTTGATGTTTCGATATTGTCGATGTTTTGAGTATACTGCAAGGAAAGGACGTATCTATCAAAACCTATATTTTCGTACAGTTTCGCTGATTCGAAGTTTACAAACTTGATTTTTCAAGCGCTTAACTTATATTAGAAATTTGGTACGCAAAATATAGATCAGACTTGAAATCAGCGTTTGAAGGCGCTTACGGTAATATGCATTTCTTTCCAGCTTGTCAGTTCCACTTCAGTATTTCCTCTACGAGAAAATCGGCTCTAAATAGACTTTTGAGATGCCAAGCGTTTTTTTGGCTCAAATTGCAAACTATGAACCTGATTCATAAAGCAGAGAGAAAGTATGTTTCGAGAACGCAGTGCAACGAATAGGACTTCGTAAACCTCCTGTCATTGCAACACCGAGGCGGACTTAGATCAAATAGGGCGTCTCAGCACAGTTTCTAATATCTGCTCCAAGACGAAGGCGGTCGCCCAAATAGATTGCAAGCATGCGAGGCTGCAGCGCGCGGACAATTGTCAACCACAGGGCGCGCGACGCTTGGTCAGCGGTCGCTCATGGGAGCGTACGCGCGACCCGTGGTTGACAATTGCCCGCGCGCCGCGTGCGCGTTAGCCTTGCATGCTTTCAACCTATTTGGGCGACCGCCTTCGTCATGGAGCAGATATTATTGTGTCATCTTTCGATGAGGACCGCCTTATCAGGGCCTGGCACCAGCTGGCACGGGGCAAGCTGGATATCGTTTTTAGAGCAACGGCGACGGCGACCTTTTTCTTCAGTCGACGTTTCGTTTTTGGGGGGTTTTTTAGGATTTTAGAGGGGATATCGTTGAGAATCAAAGGGGACTTCGTAAAAATTAGCAAACTTCAAGGGGGACTTCGCTTTGAAAATTTCCCCGGTGCCAGCTCGTGCCGAGCCCTGCGCCTTATAAAGGAGACGAATGTGTACGCTTCACGGAAAAGAACGAACACATTTTGCTGATTCGGTCGAATGGGTAAATCATTGCAGTGCTGTCTCCGAAATTTCAGGGTGATAGCTAAAGAGTGGGATATCAGAATTTGCCAAGATTCTCCGCAATAGTTGACCGATATTTGCTGCCAAGGCGAAATTTTCACGTCAAAATTTGGGCATTGAGCATAGTGGTCGCAACTTCGTCGCTGCTCTATCTGTGCGTGATACAGCTGTTACGCAATCATTGCACCTACGTATCTACCTGCAATGACGGCTGTGGCAGTCGTCCGTCGCAACAGATCGCCGACTCTTTTCACAAGTGTCGCAGTTTCAGCACAATATTTCTCGATTTCACGCCGATCTGCTGCACCGGCTACTGAACTATGCCGCTGACTTTACGAACCGTTTTCGGTTTTTGCAAATGAGTTTTGAGAAATTGCAAAGTTTGGACATTTCGCACATGGCAAGTTTATGCTGGCCTCACTCACGGGGTAAATTATCTGAAAGTGAGGCCAGTGGCGCCGTCTATGCCGTTGGAAACGTAAAAATTCACTCTGCTTTCCAATTCGAGAACGAGTATGCGTGCATTACCTGAAGTAGTCATTGGTTTGGGCGAACTATGCCTGGGCGAAATCCCCGGTGACGAACATGCCTTAAAGAAAAAGCTTGTTTTTGCGAATGAGTATCAAATTGGTGTTTTCCATCTGTTGGTCATTTTGCCTAACGTTCATTCAAAGTCTTTGGATGTTGCTGCTCAGAATAGCCGTTTTCAAGGAAACCGAAGACCAGCGAGCTCTCTTCCTTTCCCCCTTCTTGCTCGCCCAGGGTCCCTAACGGATTCGTCCGTCACTGATTAAGTGTCTGCCAAGCCCTGGTAGCTTAT